CTTTCTTGGTTTTGACACGTTTCCTTTCTAAAGGCATTGATTTGTTACAGAAATAATTGCTAGCATTCCGTATGATTTAGTGCTTTTTTGCTACATGTGACCAAGATTTTGTTTTTAATGCCTCTGCTTTAAGAGTTTTCATAGCATGATGCTACTCCAGGTTCCGGTAGTCAGGTCTCTTGTCTCCAAAGGCTGGCTGGTTTGCCAGCAGTAGCACCAGGTTGAACTACACCAGGTAAGGAGTGTGTCCACATCGGGGACCAGGACTAAAACTGATTCACCTGCTAGTGTAGTCTACAGTGGCATGTCATGGAATGATTATGTGCTGGGCAGTGTGTGTACCTTTGACTCTATGCCATTTTAATCGCAACAGTGGAAAACAGATTAGTGTGCAACCGTTGTCTTCAGAGAAGGCTTAAAAGAATCCGAGTTTGGCACACAATCTAGTTAATCTACCATCATAACTAATGATTTCACCATTCAGACATAAAGTATCGACCTTAAAGGATTTTTCTTACATAGCTGATGGCTTGATACCTTTTAAACACTAATGCCGAGGGTATAATCTCTCTGAATAGCGTAATAGTTTTATATTTAAGGTAGATTGGGGATAAAATTTTGTGTTTTCATGTGAACTATGAATACCAGTAAGGTATTCAGGCAGGAATTACCTTATCGTACCTTTGAGGGCACTTATCAAGTAATTTTTATTGGAAAGTTAATACGTTGAGACAGTGAATGGAAAGCTGATCGGAATGCTAAGGCAGATCCCAGCGCTGCGTTGCTTTTGCTGTCTGCAGATATGCGGCATGGGTTGATTCATTTAGCACATCATCTAAAATCATGTAGTGTTCAGTACCGATTAAAATTATATGAAATTGTGTGTAAGATTTCTCCATGTTAGCTTTGAAGGATCCTCTGTTCCTTGCAGAAGTAGTTCTGATAGGCACAGCACAACTCCACTGACTGCAGGTGTTCTGCTTCATAGGCACCGATACTGCACCAGCGGCCCGGGGAGTTGCTCGGGATTTAATTTCACGCTTGTGTATCTGAGTGTAAGATTGGTCAGCTTCTCTTTTAATCGTGTATCTTCAAGTCGCAGACCATATATTATGGTATTCATTACTTCTCTGTCATCAGCACTGGCATGATGTATCAAACAAAGCCTTGCAGGGCAAGGGCTTCTTCTGTCCCTCCTCGTCTTCTGTGCCTCCTGCTCACTGTGTGTGTGCCTCTGTTCCACCCCACCCCTCTGTTTTGGCTGCTCCATTTTGAGCCTTCCTGCAGCGTGTTCCTGTCCCTCCTATTGTCCCAATTTCCACTTCCCCAACTTTTCCAGGGTTCCCAGAAGAGAGGAACCTCCCCGTGTTTGCTCCGTGCTGGACCAGCCTGTCCAATTGCTGGCTTTTCTCCAGCATCCAGTTCTGCCGGAGTAGAGCAGGAAGCCACTTGGCTGCTCTCTGTTCTTCAGCTGTTAACTGTCTCCCAGCTGAAAAAGACTTGTGGAAACCTGTAGTGGTTGGTGCTAATATAACAACTTTCTTAAATATTTTCTTTAAAACTTGTTCTGATATGAGAAACACTGGAAGATGTCAGTTGAGTTCAAGTCACTTTTATTTAAATGTCTAAATTCTGAAACTATGGAATTGGAGCATTTCGCAAAAATGAATAAATGTACTCTAACAGTTGGAGCTGAACAAAATATTTTACCTATATATATTTTCAGTGAAAAAGCACATTCAGCAGTATTGGGATGCCTGTTAAATTTTTCATTGGTGAAAAACTTTGGTGCTTCCAAACTTTTACCTGAAAAGCCACTGCATGTTCTGTTCTGTACCTTGCATCTCTTCAGTATGAGAGAGTCCATTGACCCCAGCTGACACCACAGAACAAAAGCACCACCAGATTGAGTCTGTGCTTCTTGATGACTTTACCAGCATAAAATATTGCCAACAATAGCTATTTGTTCCCACGGTGTTTTCCTGGAGTATTTGTGTGGCCCCATGGACGTACTGTGAATGGGCTGGGGAGCTGAGCCAGCCTGCGGAAGAAGATGCTGCTGTGATTTTTGGTGGAGACAGACCATTACCTTTCCGGTTCACAGCATGGCCAGAGACTGTGACCTATCATCCATTTCCCAGAGTTTCCGCAGCTATCCCGTAAACATGTATCTTCTCTAAATTGCTAATGACTGCTGAATTATTGCACTTTTATAAGGGGGCTATTGACATTAATGTTGGGCTGCCTAACAGTAATGTGGGATTTTATTTAGAACAGGATGTTCCAATTTGTTTCTTTTTGAGTCCTACAGAAGATACTTAGCAGTATAACCAGAAAGTTCCTTCCCATAGTTCTTTTGCCAAATACTTGAGCTTCTCTTTTGGGTTTGTAATATCCTTTTTGGTGGAAATAAATTTGTGCTGCATGGCTCTGCACCATTCATAAGTATAGATACATGTACAAATTATTAAGTGTCTGTGCAGAAAACTAAAATTGCATATTTTCACACGAATGTCAGGTTTTTAATTGCATAAATAAGATGCTGACTGAAGCAAATGTTCAATTTCACATTAAAGTTAGGCATTCATAAAGGCTTGGCTTTACGTAATTAAATTTTCTGCACAGAGGATACTGAAAATCAATGGTATGATTCATAGCCGTACCATGGTTGCCATGTGGCTTTTTGACTGTTGAAGCTAGGGGTACAAAGGGGTTTACAACTACAGATGTTTTACACTGACTCAGAGCCTTTCTACCTTCAACAAATGCAGATTATTTAGACATAATTTATTTTTTTGAGTAGTAAGGCACACAGAAGGACTCACTGAGTACATACCTGCAGAAGTACCTTGCTCATTGGAGGAGGCAGGGTGCAATCTTCCTTCTGCCTGCAGGAATCAATTTTTCTGGGCAAGAAAAACCCCACAAATTTTTGCATTCTCTGCGTAAATGATGCTTACAAGAAAGCTGCTGCTGCCTTTCATTTTGTAGTAAGGTGGGACTTTAGGTGTATTTCCCAGAACATGTGATTTTTAAGTGAATAATCAGGCCAGTTTTTTCTGATAGCCTTTCCAGCCACCCATCTAGGTTATTTCCATGTTATCTCCCTTGGGATTTTCATGGTCTCCAATGTTTGCTCAGGTTTTTTTTTTGCCAAGAGGGTTTGGGTCTCCACATCCCTTACCTGTTCTTTCCTGTTGATATGAGTGCCTGCTGCCTCCCAGCCAGGTAGACTTATTAGGGTAAATCAGAAGAAGAAAAAAAGGTGTGTGATATAATGTTGACTCCAAACCCAGTAGCATGATGTGTTCCAGTGTTTCTAGTTCGCAGCCTGAAGTGAATTAGTATTTAGGAAGTTGCCAAGATATCTGGAAAACTCATTCAAATCAGAGGCTCGTAATAAATTGCACAATTAGTACCTTTGCTCACACAAGAGAAAATTTGGCAGGGGCAAACCTGTAATGCCTTTCCTGAGATTGCCTGACTTTTCCTACCACTTCAGGACACCAAAATCTGCAGAAATCCATGATCTGCATTGCAGAGCGAAGGTTGTCTGTAGAGCTGTTTCGCCAACATGCGTAGCCCTGGGACACAGCACGCTCTCTCCTGCTGTGGTGCAAAGGGGGTGACACCAGAAGCTTTTCCAAAGGGAAGGAAAGCCAAATTCTGCGTTACTGGTGCTTGGTGTTCAATGAAGTCCTGTTACGAGCTTCGTTTCAGCCCAGCTGTAATTGGCCTGGGAATAGAAGGGAATAAAGTGCTTGGTGACTGTATACGGGTAGCAGTGCTTTACATGGTTTTTTCTAAAGATTTGATTTGTTCAGCTAGTTTCTTACTGATCAAATAAGTGGTTTGGGATCAGTTGGACTTAAATTTCCATAGAGCCAGGTGGTGCATACTTGTTCTTCGTGTTCCATATCTGCAGATGTAAGGGGTTTTTTGTTTGTGTGTTTTTATTATAGCACAAAAGTTTTCAGCTGTGGTGCTCTGAGAAAGGTAGTTGAATTTATTACAGACTTTTTACTTACATTTGTGAATTCATACACCTTCAGTTTGATTCAGTCAAATGCGTAGGAACAACAAGCAAAATTTGCACATAGAAAACACGAACAACCCATATCCTCGTGAAAGCTATACTTTCCTTCACAAGAAAAAAAAAGTTGTTTGAGTTATAAAAGAAAAATCCTGGGATGCAAAGTAGGATGCGTTTTCTGTTTTGGTTGATGAATTTAATTCCTTCTAGCTTGTGAAGTTTTACAAAGATTTCTTCATCACTGGCCTCTCCCTTTCATGTTGTAAGGCGCTGGTATTGCACCCTGGATATCCTGTCTGACATAGGCAACCTTCCTCTGGCTAGAAGGCAGTGCTACGAGTCTGCCTTGCTGCAGTGCATTGGATGAGGCGATGTTACTCAGGCCTTGCTCGTGCTGAGACTGTCACCCAGTGCACTGCGGGCTCAGGTCTGCAGGCTCCATGGGAAGGGGATTCATTTGGTCTTGAGTGAAACGGTTTTATGTGGGATTTTAAGATGTGCTTTAAAAGAGGGGCTGTTATGATAACCAGGATAACACTGTACCAGCGTATTCCACACGCTTGCATCTGTATTCTTTAAGGACCTTCGTAATATTTGTGTTGAAATACAATTAGTGGTTTGGTAGTCACTAGCAAAGTAAGCTATCTTTTGGCTCTAGACAGAGAAAGTTTGGTCACACAGCATGGCTCATACTTGTTTGCTTGTGTATATCAGAACTTCCTCATGGAAATTACTGGAGTTTTGCAGGCACGTGCCAGATCAGAATAATGGCATCAGTGAGTCCTGGCTTCTGTGAATCATCTTTGGATGGTGGGTTTTCATGGGTGAGGAACATACCAGTTAAATTTTTTTTTTTTCTAAAGCAATGCCAGGTTTGTTTGTCTCTGCTCAGCAAAGATTTAAGCTTCACAGTGTAAAGTCCAGGGAGTAAATACCACTTTCCTAATGATTCCTGCTTCTTTTCTTCCCAGCTCTGACTGAAGGTTATGTTGGCTCCCTGCATGAAAACAGACATGGTAGTTCTGTGCAGATACGGAGGCGAAAGGCTTCAGGGGATCCTTACTGGGCGTACTCGGGTGAGTTGACTTCTTCAGGACTCAAACATGAAATATCTCCAAAACCAAGTTGTGTACTTGCTTTTTGTTGCTGCTACACTCAGATATAGTTTAAAGTATTTTTACACTGTATTTTCTTTTGTGGATTTCCTTGTAAACTCCTGCTACACACACCCTCTCCTTTCTTGTATTCCTGCCGTTTGCCTGCTGGGTTGCCCTTATTATTCTGCTCCTTCTCTTGGTCGTCTTTTAGTTTCAGAACACACCCTTAGAAAAGGCCTACCCCCCAAGCTTTTCTTTACTCTCCCTGTCCAGTCAGTACATTCCCAAGCTTACCACTTGCTTACTCTGAGCTTTTGTGAAGACTGTAAGCATCCATATATACATCCAGATTAAAAAAAAAAAACAACGCACACTAGAAATACTATAATTATTTCTTTGTGTGTATGTGTTTTTGAGGTAGGGTATAATGATGACAGTGAGACCTGTTAGTGCAGCATCACACCAGTATGTGTGATGCTGAGAAGGTAGGATATTGGGAGGATATTTTATTGCTTGTCCCACTGTTTTTGTAAGTCTTATGGAAAACCTGATGTGTCTGCACAATTTTGAAATGCCACAAATCAAACATACTTCAGAATGATGTCTTTGATGTATGGTTTGACAGTTGGTTCAGGTCTAGCATATTCCAGGTCTGTATTTGAGGTTGTTAAAGAAACCCCAACAACATAAAATCATGTTAATAGCTACATTGACTCTATGAAAAATGTCAAATCTAGGAAGTTTTTATAAACATTTCAAGCATCGGAATGAACTTGTGCATGCTTTTTTGGAAGATTTGAGATGCATTTCAAACATTTGGTGCTTGTCCAAGAGGAATGTTGTGCAGGCCTAGTTTTAGCTGAAAGAAAAATACCACTTTCTGAGAAGTCTGAATACTGATACCAGATAAACAGGCACATGTTAATTTTTGACTGCCAACTCCTCTTTTTTACATAAATTTCATTGGAAATGAATGGTTGTAGGTAAGCTTAGAGCTTTTTTCCATTAATACACAAAATACCAGATGTCACAAGTTTCTCTATTAGGTCTCAAAATACAAGCTGTCTCATTTGCAGATGAGGTCACGCAAATAAAATAAATCTAAACATTTCAGTGATGTAGGACGAATGATCGATTTTTGTTGAGCTTTGAGATTATTATCAGATGGACAAATATTGCCACAAGATACAATTCCATATTGCAGCTTAAAATAACGTTTTTAGGTTTTAAGCCCCCGAACTCATGAAGAGTAGAAATGAACAAATAGAGAAAAGCGTTGTGTGTTGGAATGAATGGCCTGTTCCTATTTGCTATCTTGTGTAAAAATATTACAAGTTAAGTGCTACTTGGCAGGTTTATTTTGTTTCTGTTACTGAAAAATGTATTTGGAATATTCATTGCAGGTAGTTAAATGAAAATGTTTTTTTTAAAAAACAAGTAAAACACTAGTGGAATTATTCTATTGTTACATGTGTCAAGTCTTTGCTTGAGTTACTGGACTACACTTTTTTTTTAACCAGTTTTTTAACCAGTTTAACTGGTTCAAAAAAAAAGGGGGGAGGTAAAAAAAAAAGGCCACCCAAAAACCAAACAAAACCAGCCAAATAAAGCAACAAAACCCCTCAAACCCACTGCACACCAATTTATGCATATGGCAGTTTTCTTACTTCTATATTTGTGATGGTGGTGTTCTTTCTTTATGAGTAATATCATTTGTTCACCCCTCCAAAAAAGCTTTTACCACCCACGAATCCTTTTAGATTTATGTAAAAATAAAATGTATGGTCCTGATACATAATTATACATTACATTTTGGGGTTTTGCATCCTTTTGTCTGTTGATAAATCTTCTGCTTCTATGAGGAAAATAGCCAACCTGTTTTTCAGAGAACAGACACTGACTTCTCAGCTGTCAACCACGTGCCATTCTACCTGATTAGCGCTATCTAATTAGAATACTTTTGTCAGTATTGCTGATCAAAGCAGTAAATTAGGAGATGGAAAAGGTGGAAATGATATATTTACCAGCACTTGTCAAGAAACCAGAAGAAGATATAATACCATTTTCTCAGGATGCTTTCTCAGGCTACTATTTGAACAGAGTGACTTGAAATGCCATTCCAGGGGAATGTGGTTTGGGTCCAAGTATTCCAGCTGCAGGGCCTGAGTCTTCCCCAAAGGTTTTGTGACATGAAACAGAGGTGTGAGCAAACAACCTTGGTACCGCGTGTCCCAGCTGTGTGGGTTGTGCATATGCGGCATCCGAGGAAGCCCACGGATGGAGATCGGGTGTCCTTCCAAGCCGTGTTGTGGTCTCTGCCTGTCAGGAGGAGCAGCTCTGCCCTGCTGAGCCCTGCATCGAGCACCCGGGGATCTGCATGAGAGCAGCAGGGACAGCGCCATGTGCTAAGAGCTAACAGTGAGACGCAGGTGATGATTTGTATTGTGTCTGAGAGGGAAGAGGCGAAGGCAAGTAGAGACTTGGGAAAGACGTGGTTATTTCTAGAAGAATTTTCCAGGGTCGATGTCCTGCAGGAGTCTTAGCATTGTGAGCATCTCCCTAAGAAAGGGAGAGAATTGAAATAAGCAATTAGGTGGGGAAAGCAGCACATGCTCTGTTAGAAATTGGATGTTTTCATTAGCTGCCACTTTGTCAT